TTTTTTTTTTTAAAGACAGGGTTTACCTCTGTCACCCAGACTGGAGTGCAGTGGGGTGATCTTGGTTCACTGCAGCCTCTGGATTGCTCCTGGACTGAAGTGATCCTTTCACCTCAGCTCTCAGCTTCCCAAGTAGCTGGAATTACAGGCACACACCACCATGCCAGGGTTAATTTTTGTATTTTTTGTGGAGATGGGTTTTGCTGTGTTGCCCAGGCTGGTCTTGAACTCCTGAGCTCAAGAGATCCTCCTGCCTCGGCCTCCCTAAGTGCTGGTATGAGCCACCGTGCCCAGCCAATACTGTTAAGCAGCATGTGCTATAGTGTTTTAGTGCTGAATTTCATATCTCTTAACATGCTTTATTTGGTTTATCAGTTTTACCTCAAGACTAATTAGAGGCCAGTTTGATTCTTTTCTTAGTAGTGTTTTAGTTCTTCCACTTTCTCCTTACCCTGTAAATCTGAAGAGCAAAAGAGAAGTAAGAAGTGAGAAAAGAAAGGAGAGACAGTCTTTCTTTGAGATTATTTAAAAGGCTAGGAAAGGATGAATGTCTAGACAGTTCTGGACATTTTGAGTAAAAAAGTCTAAATATATATACTTACTGTATATTTTTAGGTACATATTGTCCTTTGAGCTGTTTCATCTTGGGATGGCTTTATTGACATTTTAATCTAGTGATTGTGTATACTCATGATGTAGGAAGTAGTAGCCAATGACTTGGGCCATGAAGTTTAACTGTGACACTTCTTCCCGGAAGGTCCTTTCTTCCTTAAATGTCCCTTTGGGCTGCCCCAGTTCATCTTCTTTTACTCTTGGCCCCTGGTCTTTTACTCCATACAACCAAAATTTTACTTTAATACCATTCAGCCCACCATCCATGTTAACATTTTCAGCTAACGCTTTCTAGGTTTTTGTTGTTGTTCTTGTGGTTGTTTTTAGAAACAGAATCTTGCTCTGTCACTCAGGCTGGAGTGCAGCGGTGCAATCCTAGCTCACTGTAACCTTGACCTGGGTTCAAGCTGTCCTCCCTGCTGCAATCTCCCAAGTAGCTAGGACTACAGGTGCTCAACACTACATCTAGCTATTTTTTGTTTGTTTTTGTTGAGACAGAGCCTACCTTTGTTGCCCAGTCTGTTTTCCAACCCCTGGCCTCAGGTCCTCCTGCTTTGGCCTCCTTAAGTGCCAAGATCAAAGGCATTAGCCACTGCACCAGCCCCTTTCTTGTTTTTAAGTATTTTACAGAAGTGAATTTAGTGCACATTTAGATATATGCTAATACTAATGAAGGGCTTTAGGGTAATCTGCATCAGTGTGATCCTTTTTTTGATATGCGTAATTGAGTTTTTTTCAGTCTTGATTGTTATGCAGACAGATTAAAGATAGGCGCCACCTTCCAATCATTGCTTATCAATTCATTGCTGTTAAGTAACCTTTTCTTATATAGAAATTCTGAATCCAGTACATACTGCATTTCATTACACACACACACACACACACACACACCCCACATTGTGACTAATGTAAATACCTTCTTGCTTTATAATTCCCACATAAAGCAATTATATTAATATGCAGTGTTTTTCATGGCACTCCTTGAATCAATTTGGAGTCACTACAAATTATTATGGGTAGTAAAAGGCATGTGCCTGTGGAAGGGATTCTCAGACAAAGGAGTCCCTCCC